GTAAAAATGTCACAAAGCTTTTCTACCATTGTGAAGTTATCTTTTTCTCCATTCAGCATTATCTTGGTTGCTGTAAACCCCTGAATGCTTTCCAGAGCTCTGACAAAGTTTATTCTGACAATCTCTGCTCAGAGTTGCTACTTTGCCATTTTGTTGAGATCAATTCAACAGTTCAATTTTGATGTCACAATTTGACTCACAGTTTCTACCTAGACCCTATATTGACCCTTTGGTTTTAGGATGTCTTATCATCCACCTTGGACAGCCCCTCAAGGATACAAATTCACTTTAGATGAGGGACACTTTAAATGATAGACACACAATACCCATACCTCCTCTGAGCCCCATGGACTCATGTGTATCAAGAAATCTCACTTTTTCTCCACCCAACAGCAGAAGGGAATTAAAGTATTCTGGGGACACGATGAAAATAAAAGTATGTTGATGAGTGTCAAAAAGGTATTAAAAAAATACATAGCTCCCTATTGTTTGTTGAGAAAATAAAGGAAAATCAGCTACATAGTAAAAATGAAATATTTACCCAAGCTAACAGAACAAGAACCAGGCAAATGGTGTAAAGACACTTAGAAGTTTATAAACCAACTCAATAAAATGTAACAGTTAATCAGTCAAATAGCATCTTCATGTAAAGTTGCCATATTCAGAAAATAAAAATACACAACATCCAGTTAAATTTGAATTTCAGGTAAACAATGATTTCTTTAGTGTAAGTATATCCCAAAACATATTTGACTGTGTATTTGCTACACACCTATACTAAAAAATATTGTTTATCAGAAACTTAAATTTTATTGTGTTTTTTATTTTATCTGACAACCATATCTTCATGTTGTTTCAATCTTGAAAACAGTTAAGATTTTCTTATCTGTGATAAAGCAAAAATGATAAGCTCATAGATGTTCCCAGTCTTTACCCTTCCCCTGACATCTAAAGAAGTTTCTAATTTTGCCGTTTCAGTTATTCCCTCCTCCCACCCTCTCCCACCCTCTGCACAGGGTTATGTTTGGTTGCTAGGTTACCAAGTTATGTGGACATTGTGATGTAGAGTCAAAAGAACTCCGGGAGAGGTATAAAAGGAGAGGTAGAGAGCAAAAGGAAAGGAGGAGACCAGGCTAGGTCTAGTGAAGCACATTTTCTGGAGGAATTTGTAATACTGAGAATGGAGATGAAGGGTGAGTTGAAAATGAACAGGAGTTTATAGGGGCTCTTATTAATTCTTATTCTGTGTATCCTTTTTATAGTGTTTAAGAAATTATAGCATTTAAGAAAATATTTTGAAATTTATTGTTTTTCTAAATTAAGATTCTTTGATAGAGACACTACCTTAGACTTGTCCCTCTGGGTCAGAGTGTCAATATGTTCATATATGATTCTGTGAATATGTCTCATAGGGAGAAAAGTACATTGTTTTATTGGTCACTAAACTCATTGAGTGACCAAAACTTTTTAAGAATAAAAATATCAAATTTTGAATGGACAGGAGAGTTTGAACTCCCTCAAATGAAGAAGCAAGGGCATATTGGGGGGTTTCTAACCTTCATAAGTCCATGGGCTTAGAAGCGGTATGGTAGTTGTGGACTTTTCATCTGAAGTTAAGTTGTATCTTAAAGAGTCTTACAATAACGAAAGATGAAATACCCATATAAAGAAGTCTTGACAGAGCTGATAAGAATCATCAATAAAATTTGGTGCAATTATTTTTTAAAATTTAGTGGAAGGATCACATATCCTTCCCAAAATATGTGGCCGTTGGACGACACAGTTTTACTAGAATATAAAAGTGCTTCCCTAAATTTGGTGGCTAATTGAGACTGATTTATAAAGGTCCAGAATAGCCGGGTTTATTTCAAACTTCACACAGTTTTTAATTCTCGACAGGCTGTGTATGTAAAAATCTGAATAAGAGGAGAGAATATTTGAGAATAACAACATGAGTATTTATAGTTTCTACTTTATATTATTTTAAAAAATAAAAGACTTCAGGATTTAACTGTAATATTATGCTTCCTCAATGACCCAGTTACCAACTCAAAAGGTGTTTTACTTTAAAATTTTTAAAATATTATAGTTTTTAAAGTTAGCAAGCATGTTTACACTTATCTTTGAGAAGCACAACAATTTTGGAGTTTTGTTTAATAAACAGTGAAACACTGCTTTCAATAAATGTGATATAATAAAAGAAATGCTCTAGGTGAGTAAAACAAATGAATCAACAAAAGCAAAACCCTCTATTACTCATGAGTTGAGCAGCTCTTTCTTTTTCCTTGACATTATAAACTCAATAACTCAGTGACATAATTTCCGTGTGGCAATTTCTTGTGTAATCTTAATGAGAATTTGTTTTAAATGAGTAACAATGACCCTATGTACAAGCTTTTTATGTGATTGCTTTGAAGAGGATAACAAGCCTTCATATTCTATTTTTGATAAAGATCTCTTAATTCATTCCAATAGCATGAATACTTGTGACACATTAAAAAAAAAACCCATTGCTGTCTAGTCAATTCCAACCCATAGCAACCCTAAAAGACAGAGTAGAACTGCCTCATAGGGTTTCCAAGGAGCGCCTGGTGGATTTGAACTGCCAACCTTTTGGTTAGCAGCCATAGCTCTTAACCACTGTGCCACTAGGGTTTCTTTGTGAAACATAGGAGTATAAATACAAAGTATATGGAATATATCTTATATAAAATGTTACTTCTGAATGTGTAAAGGAACAATGAATTTTATAGATGGTCTGGGTTGCAGCAGTGGGTGACACTACCAAAGAAGAAAGCAGCATAGATATTTTACTAGGGAGAAGAAGGTACAGGAGTGACTGTTCTCAATTTATTTTATGAAAATATGTTGATTAGTTTTCAGGTACATCTGACAAGATCTAGATGACCACCAGGAACTTCGGTTCCCACCAAGTTACTGGATCTCAACCTTCCTGAGAAGCAGCCAGTTACATTATCCTCAAACTTTGTGAGTTTAATTTGATTATTGACATTCTCTAAACTACAGATTCTGTTAATTACCTCACTTTGATTCTACCTCTCCTGATGCCGAGATATCTTGGTACACAACTTCTCTAATTGCCAATCTTGAACAGATAAAATTTAGTTAGTAAAGCTCAGCAAGATCCCACAAATTTGCTGGTGAAGTTGTGGAAGTGTATGAAGTCTCTTAAGAGGAGAGTATAGAAAAAAGTAAAACAGAGGATCAAGAAATGAGTTTTAAGTAACATCTGCATTTAAATGTTAGGAAGAGTTAAAAAAGTAAGCAAGAACAAAACACAAATGAAATAAATGTAAAAGAGGCAGAAAGATCTAAAATACCACATGGTAACAGAAGTCAAGGAATGAAATGCTTAAAAGTAGGAGGTGATGAGGAGTGTATAGTTCCATGGCCTTACAACAGCACTAAACAGTGAGAAATACAGAATAAAATCTCATTGTGATCCCTGGCCTCAGTTAAACATTTACAGTCTGAGATAAGAAACACTTATACTTGAATTAAGAACAAATATTGGAATAATAATTAAAAAGCTAAATTATAGGTAAAATGCATATTTATGAACAGAAAAAGCGTGTTCATTGAGTAGCATAATGAAAGTTGAACAAGGGAGGTGGAGTCAATTTGTGGAGGGTCTTTGAAGGTGGCAATATGAGTAAAGTGCCCATGCCGCTCTCCATCTTTAAACTCAGATGACCGATCCATAAACTATGCCTAGGTTGCCATAAAAGCTAGCCGTGAGAAAAGGAAGCCAATTTTAGGTAATTTCTCAAGTGTCTGCAATTTGTTTTCAGTCCACTTGCACTGGCCTTTCCCCACTATTGCCTTTAAAGGCAAATGTAAATGGACAGAAAACAAATCTGCAGACACTTGTGAAATTACCTAAAATTGGCTTCCAATTCTCATGGCTAGCTTTTATGGCCAAACTAGGCATAGTTTATGGATCGGTCATCTGAGTTTAAAGATGGAGAGTGACGTGTGCACTTTACTTATACTGCTGTCTTCAAAGACCCTCCACAAACTTACTGCACCTCCTTTGTTCAACTACTCTGAAGAAATATTCCAACTGATATTTTTCCAAGTTCCATCTTAGAGGGGGATGGGGAATTTATAGTTAAAAGAATTAGGATCCACAGAAGATGTTTGAGCAAGTAGGTGACATGACAAAATAAATGGGTTAGAAGAGAGGGTAAAATGAGAGTTTGGAGTCATGGAAATTTGGTGAAGTAAAGTAAGCATGAGGTGACTATCAGCTTGATCACTAATAATGAAAAGGAAATGGTGAATTTGGAAGATAATTTACTCAATGAACTCATAATTTTGACGTCTCTATTCAGTTTTCTACCCTCTCTTCCACTCTGCCTTCCCTTTCCACATAATTCACAACTGTTTTTCTTTATATATATAGTTTTAAAAGATTAGATTAAAAAATAATAAAAAAAAGAAAAATTCCAGGGGAAGAATAGCTTCTACTTCACATAAATTCAACCACTTCCTTTTGCACATAAGTGTTTTTTCTTGAACATACATACTCATAAAAAACTGCCTTTTAATTTAGTACCATTTTTAACTACCAGGTGAGTAATTCTGATGTATCTTATTTAATAAAAATGCTATTTAGTTCATCATCTAAAAGGGAATAATTGGGCTTCCTACCCAAAAGGATGTATGTTCTAGTGTATAGAGTAATTTACAATACTGCTAGATGAGAAGTCATGTTATTAAGGTTTTTACAAGTTCTTGAACTATGTAATGAAAACACCTATTTAATAAGAATCTTACATTTGCCCTTAGTATTGCCTTTGTCTTATTTTATTTTGTAAGTATGGAACTCTGATAAAATATACGTGTGAGAAAGCACAGGAAATACCCATCTACATGATTCTTGTCAGGACTGAGGAACTGTGATTATTACTGAAATCTTATGAAATGGCACTTTTCTCAATTTACTAGATCTTTCTTTCTCACAAATAGAACCCAGAATGACTTCTCCTACAGAAGAAGGCAGTGATCCAGCTGACAACGCGCTCAATAATTCTGAAGAAGTGGCTCCAAATGACTGTAATGCAGACATAGAGCCTTCATTTGCTGATCTCAACAGGGCCTGTCAAATGGAAACCGACCAAACTGACAGAGAGCCAAATACACCAACCTCCCAGGAGGATGATGGTTCACGAGCAGCAGAAAATAGTGAGCTTGAAGTACAAAAGACCCAGAAAGAACCTCAAAAAGAAAATTCAGAGGATTTGTCCCTTCTAATTCAGATCCCCATTCCTAGAAAATGGGTCTTTCTCATGTCAGGATTAGGGAGAATTACCTATCTGAGTATCCCAGTAGGAGTAATTAATAAAAACAAACCCTTAACTGATAGATCAAGTTTCTACTCAGGCAAAGTGGAGATGAAAACAAGTAGTTCGTGTCATGCCAGCATAAATCACAAAAGTCCTCTCCAACTTTCAGTTTCATGGAGAATTCCATTCATTAACAATCATGATTTAAGAAGAATGATTCTCCGTCTGCTGTGTGGGAGATACATCCCTCAGGCTGGAAGTCGTCCAAATGGTGTGCGGATGAAGCAGGAATATGTAGCATTTCTTCCTCGCCCAAATGCCCTCTCCAGTGGTGAGAGAGCCATAATATTTGGAAGGCCTTTGAGAGTGTATTACCACCGTCCCCTCATTGAGAGAATTGCATCAGGGAAATTTTACAAATCTGGTGATACTAAAGGGAAGAATGGATTCCACATTTTTGTAAGACCAGTATTTTGTGTCCCACGAGCCCAATTACAAAGCACATTTAATAGGAAAATTTTTGAGGATCATTTGAGATATAATCATAATATGCCAATTGTGATCATAGGCACCAGTAATGACTGGAAATACCTGTGTCCTATCTGTGGGAATACTTTCAGCACTTTGGTTGAATTTAGACAGCATTCCTGCAGTTTTCCAAGAAATTAGGTTAAAATGAAATTAAGTTAAATTTCATTTTAAAATTTAATTTAAAAAATTTGTGATTTGACTGCCCATGTGACACAAATTCATGAACATAAATTTTAGTAGTATTAGAGGGAAATGCAGAAAGGGACACAAACTAATGCATTAGCAAGAGAGAACTTTGGGAAGAAAAAAAGAAAAACTCAAAAGAACAAAAAGTGTTTATGCTGTGTGGTTACAAATAGATCATCAAAATATCAGGCCCTTGACATATCAGCAACTAAACCAAGAAAATGTTTGCCCTTTCTTAACGTCTATTTCTGCAGTTAGGACATTTTTACCTTTAGCAAATTCCAAATTCACAGGATTCTGACAAAGATAGGAAACGTACTGAAGGGCCAGCAAAAGTCTTTCTAAGTGTTTCCAGAAATTTTGCTAAATTTAACATCTAAAATATTCTTCCTAAATTCAATAAAAATAATTTTAAAGAATTCAAAGTTGCATTGTATCCTTAGTACTATGTAAAAAGACCTATGCTTGGGGAAAAAACAAAAGTGCAAAGTACTATGAATCAATAGATTATATTTAGATAATAATTTTGATAATTCAGAATAAAAATATTAGAAAGCTCTTGAAAAGGAATAGCTTGATATGCATGAAATAGTTCAAGATATAATTGAAGAATGAAGAAATGGTGAACTGGTAAAATATAATCGTAATCATTTTTTTCTTGGCTAGCTCCTTCTCCATCACCTATCATCACCACCGAAATTTTTCATTCCCTCCATACACATATGCACAAAGGCCCACACATATGTGAAGTGTCCCCTCTCTTGCTACTTACAGCTTATTAACATCTGTGCCTCTTTTTTCCTTTGATCTGCATACTTATAATTCAATATAGACTATGAGATTACACCTCTTTTGGTTAATTCATATTTATTGATTATCCAGTAGTTGTGAAGCACTGTGATAGGAACATCGTACATGTTAGCTAATCTTTACAATCTTCTAAATGCATAGAAAAAGTCTCCAAAACTCTAATACTTGCCCAGATCACACAGTAAGTGCATGATGTTGTCATCATCTAATAATGTAGGCTTTTCACATATTACACCTTATTTAAAAATTATGTATTTATGTATGAAATAGAATATAGAATTTATTTAACTCATAGATATGTTGTATTACAGGAATTCTAAATTTTCATGAAGAACAGATGAGACTGGCTGCATGCAAGACAGATCCAATTTGTTTATCTGGAGGGTAAATTTGCTACTTCCAGATACAATTATTTATTGTGAGCAATGAATTGGATTGAAAAATTAATCTGACTAAGCCAGTTCAGGCACCTAAAATAACTGTTTCTAAATTTTAAAGAAACATATGCTATTTGAATTTTTATATCATTTGCTTTTGAATATGGGATAGTTTTATAAAAATATAGTCCATCAGATAGATATCACTAAAAATAAATTTTAAAAATTCCTTTGTTCCTCACTTTTCCTAACTGTTGATAAAATAAAAATAGTAATTGGGTTAAAGAATTTTTTAAATAACTTTCATGTTACCATTCATAAACTACCAAAAACCAAACTGTTGCCATCGAATCAATTCCAACTCATAGCAACCCTATAGAACAGACTAGAACTGCCCTATAGGGTTTCCAAGGAGCAGCTGGTGAGTCAGAACTGCCAACATTTTGGTTAGCATCTGATCTCTGAACCACTGCATCACCAGGGCCCACACAGAAGCTGTATTTTACCTGTAAGACCTCCCAAAAATTTGAAAACAGGATTTGAATGCAGAACAATGTAGTTAAACTGGATATTTTTCACATTTTTACATTTTTAAAAATACAAGCTAAAATTTTACAAATGACAAATGAGAACCGGAGTTAAGGCAGGATGTGGAAATCAGAAGAACCTAAGAGAATCCTAGATATATCCTTTTTTTAGCAGCCCACTTTAAAGATATCATTCATAACTACCATGCAGGGGGATGACTGAAAATTTACCTACAAAAGATGGATGAGTAATACAGTTCAATTTTTAAAAAGATTGAGCTTCCCATTTTTTAAATATGACAAAGTAACCCAAACCGTCATAGTTGTACTTAGTATATCTCATAGATAACGTGTGAACAAGCATGTATTTGATTTCTTTATGATTCTATTAATAATTTTCCAAATTTCTTCACAGAACTTTTTAAAAATATAGGTGTAGGAGAATGCTTTTACTTCATATATACAAAATAACTAACATCTAAAATGACAGATTGCATTTAGCATGAGCAACAACTGCAAATTCTAGTACTCAGCACAGAGAATACATTAAAAGAAGGTATATTGCATAAAGAAATAAGTTTATAGAACCATAAGAACCCTGAAGAGGGCAGTGTTTTACCATTTTAAAGTTCTCAATCTTTGGTTAACAAATACATCAATATATTAAAATAATATGAAGCTATCAGTTATTTGTTCATTGTCAATTTAAAATAAATTTCAATTAATCTAATCATTACATTAAAATCAGCCCAAACATTTTATTATAAATTTTGAATATTATGATGCTAAAAACTGGTCTTAAACAATTTTATAAAACTTTCATTTTTCAAAGAGGAAAACGTGGGAAACAAGCATTTATGATCTATTCCATGTTATAATTAGTTGCAAAAAATAGTGTAATGTAAATTAAAGTTATAATTAGGATTTTTTTATGGATTTGATAAGAGATTCTTTACTCTCCTTGTTCTTGCCATATTCTGATTGTATGGACTGAGGCAAAGGAAGGAGGCACTAGTCTAACCAATGTTTAAATGTGTCAATCTCAAACTTTACTAAGCTTAGGCTATACAGCAGGTGTTCAGAAACAATACTCCTTGGTGTTTCTACATTTCTTGTGAAGAGATATTGATGGCTTTTGTTCCAAATTATCTTTTCACATATGTTTGTATACTGTCTGTTGTACTAGAGATGGTGTCTTTCTTCACAGTAGAGGAAAAATTTGTTTCCTAATCAGAATGATACATACAATGTCTTCCTTGAGGAAAAAGTTTGGACATGTTTGCAAGCAGCTTCCTTATAAGATACAGAGTTCTTTAAACTCTGGGTTCCTCAGCTGTAACACAAGGCCATTGTGTGCACAGCATCTACCTTCACTTCTCTGTCTTGCCCTTGTGTTTCTTTAGAGGCAAGGGGAACAAATACCAAATTTGAAGTTCATACTGTGTGCTCTGCTGTGAGTAATAAAGTCCTTTGTCTCAGACCCAGGAGTCTCATGTCTTTTGTGAGCATCTATGAAACTATGCCAGGATAACTTGTTAGCTTGCAAGCAGGGTATAATCTCAAACCTTTCACAGTTCTTGACAGTATAAAGAAAGCTACATGAATGAAGTCTTTGTTGTTTTTAATTAAATATCACTTTCTATTCCCTCAATAACTTGGAGGTTCAGCATCTTTGAAAGCTTAACATAGTTAACGGTGATAAAGTATTTGAGCGTGTGTGCATTTGAGTGCACACAACTTAACAGAAGGAACATTAGAATAATTTAAGGGTTTCTCACTCTGATCTTTGTCAAAAAACCATTTCTGTGAATGGATGAATTTACATATCTGTGACATGCCTCCAAATCTGTGCTTATAGAATATAAATATGACTTAACCCTCATGAAATTATTATTAGAAAACTTTATTTTCTGCTGGATATTCAGATGGCTGTATTCACTTCTTCTTGGAAACACCTAGAGGTATCTGGCAGTCAAAATAAGAACAACGGTACATTAAAAAAGGGCAAAGAAGATTATTTATTTAACTGAGGGTCACTATGCTACTTATTAATGAATAGAGAGTAGGAAAAATCAGAGATTCAAGGTTGATGACAAAGATTCAAAAATATTTTGATATTTTTGGTATTGCATGATATTTTGGCTCTTTAAGCATTGGACAGTATGTCTTTTCATAGAGCTATTCATGAGTTTTTACTGTAACCATTTTTTAGTAAAGATGTTATAATTAAAATATTGTTTCATAAATAACTTATATTGAACTTTTTGCAAATGTGAAACTGCAGTTATACTGCAAACAACTTGATTTTATGATTTTCTTTAAAAGTTGATTATAACAACATACAGTATCGAGTAACAACAAATAACACACACTTTCTTAGCATATTTCATATAGAGTAGTGATGCTGTTGAATGATCCATACAATCTAGCTTTTATTACAGAGAGACAGTAGTCCATGAAAATGTAACATTAATCATTCATCCAATTATCTCTATAACAAAGGAAAGGGACAATTAAAAATACAGACTTGGGTTGTTCTAGTCTCTCTGAAAGCTGGTGATGTTTACGATTGAATAAAATTTCCAAAAATTCGTCAAGAAAAATGATTTTATAGTGGATGCACAGTATGCCACTCAGGTATCACTCTTGATGACTGAGACACTCATTCACCAAACTAGAAAGAAAGTTGCCTTCTGGCTATTCACAGTGGAGTCCTTCCCTAGTAATTACCCTCAACCAAGGAAGCTACCTCTCCTAAAGTAACCCTCCTTCCCAGTGCCAACTCACATTCAACTACTGGCCAAAGAGAGGGGTATAAAAGGTGGTGCACTTTGTCTCATTTCAAAACATCTCTGAAGGGCTATCCTAGCTGCAGATGTCCCTGAAATTGTCTAAAGCCTTTCTTTCAACTGTATCATGTTCAAACTCTGCCTATAAGTAATCCTGCTTTCCTCACTCTTTCACAGATGTTGTTGTCAATGTCACCTGCAAAAAACCCTCCTGAATATAAACCTCTGTCTCATAGTGTATTTCCTAGTGAACCTGATCTAAAATAGTTTCCAATGAAAGAAAGGATACAAGAACAATTAACAGAGACGGAAAGAGATAATATGACCTAATGTCAAAATCATTAGCTTGAATGAGATTCAGAGACATAGACAGGTGTTTTAATAAGAGGAAACCATCTGGGAAATGTGTGCTGCATGAAGCAAAAGAGGAAAATGGATAATCACTAACT